GTTTACATGTGTATCGACCCGGTCACGTGTTTAGTGGACAGCGTAAATTCATGGTGAATGAAAAGCGGGAAGTGTGCTTTTCGCTATTATAGATGGCTGAGCAAAATGTATTATGCGTGTGTATCAACTGGGATTGGTTTCTCCGACCCTTGGCATTCATTAGCGTTCGTACTAGAAAAAAGTTGTTCAGCCACTCTATTTCGCTTCCTATTTGTCACATTTCCTCTCAATTCAAGGTAACTCTGTCCAAACATAGCGGCCAACTGATGGAAATTCAGACATCCACACTGTTATCCTTGTATGACCTATATTCTCTGTCCCCTAGACCGCCTTGGAGCACGGCTAATCTGGCAGCTGAATGTGCATGCCACCCCGACCACTATTCAGCCTGAGTTTGACGTGCCTTATCAAATAAATGGTATGGTTTTTCGCCTTCATCGTAGGGTAAGCCGACATCTGGGAGTTGGTGCAAATCTCGGTTCTCAGATTATTTGGCAGTTGTCTGTGTCTGCACCTGGATGCAAAGTTCTTTGGTTTCCGGTGACTCGTTCAAAGGTTTGACTGCAGGCAGTGTTGTGAGAAGTCCAGGGGACTTGTTTGATACGATGAGGTAAATGAAAATTCCTTGAAACTCCACTACCGACTTCAGTCTTTTCTGGCTCACCAGGTAGACATAGTCCTCGAATTTCCATCAACTTTGTTTCATACTTGGACACTGAGTTGAACAAATGTGGAGACTCGTATTAAGTGACAAATTAAGACCGTGTGACAGAGCGACACAAGTGAATGTTCCATTTTATTTCTTAGATATCGGCCCAATTGAACGAAGCTCAGTTCTGTCTCGTCTAAGTTCTTGGAATCTGTTGTACCCGATAAGCTTATGAAGCACAATGAGAGCGGAGGCAGCAGATCACCTCTGTAAGTTAGCTTTCATTTAGAAGGCTTCTGTCTGTGTATGTAGAATAGCAGACAAATATGTTTCCCTAGATATTTTGAATCCCGTTAAGAAATGTGTTGCACCTCAAACACTATTTATAGTGACGACACTTGAAATCCTAAGACCTCGTACATCACCGACTGTACTTTAATTTTGAGGAAGTTGAAATCATCACCCACAATGACCTTGCTAGGTAAACGGATAGTGTATGTGAGTGGCTAAAATGTGTGAAGCTTTGAAATTTCAGTTGATATCGCAGCCTCCGTTTCCGAAGACCAAGCCTTGTTAGATTGGTGCAGGTTTTCAACCTCCCTTAACTTACAGTACATAGGCCCCACCGAGGTCGCCCCGGATCCGCGGAATTGGATCTTCCCCGAACTTAGTTGGAGGTCATTCACTGACCTGTTAGAAGTAGGGCGTAGCTCTCCGACCTATGCGTAAAGAGCTGTTCGAGATAGGCAATCCAAATATAATTCCAATGCATCGGAGAGCAACGAAATAAACGTTCCAGCTGACGTTTATGAAACTACTACACTGGCTCAGTGATTACTTAGTTCTGTCACCGTAAATAGCGATGTTGTTGAGTCCTGTTCTCAGTTTAGTTTCATTTTCAATCATGACGTCGTACTAACTTAGTGACCTACCTTGTTTCTGGAATTTCGATCTCATTTTATGGATACCACACACACTTGCGTATACTTTCACAGTACACCAACCACTACGCCCATTTCGGAAGAAATTTTTTTGTGTGAAGATTTCCACAGCGAACTCCATTGCATTTCCCTTTTTTCCACATATTCAATCTAATATTGTTCCAATACCATTCACCGTTCAACAATTACAATGGCCTGCAAAACCTCCAACCAACTACGTTCACATTTGACCTCAGTCGCCATTGAACTTTTTTGTGCAGTAACCTACTGTAATCTTTACACGCGAAAATCCGTTAAGTTCCTAGGTAGCGCTGTCTGTGCCGTGCCCAGCTGGTTGTTACCTTTGAAAACCAAAGCAGTTTTGCTAGCTAGTTCCCGGTTGTGTTAATCGCCTGTCGCTGTCAGATCGCTTGAGACAATCAGTACGAGCTTCCACGTATGACATCATCCAGTTTCTGAGTTCCTTCGTTTGGTGGTTTGGCTTGGTCTGGACTAGGGACTCCTGTAACGCATTTGAATGTCCAGTACCACCAATTTGGGCATCACATCCCTAAATGTAACCATGGAATTAGATGTGATTATGTTCACACCAACAGCAATTCTGGGATAGCTACAATTCAACTGACCTGTGTACCGTTGTTTTGCAGTTTCAGCTTTCAAGAAAGTTGAAAGTATCATCACTTAGTCCTGTCCCCGTAGATATATTCATGGCCAGCACACAATCGCAGATGAAAGATATAACTGGACGGACTAAATTCCACTGAAGATGTCGGTGACAGCTCATTAGTCACAGAGTCAGTGCATAAAAACAATGGAGCTGTTCTGGGCACTGAACACCACTCACACAAATATCAGATCAAAAGTGTAACCCCAGTTGAATGACAGAATCGCCCCTTTGGATATCCAACTGTTTCACCAAGATGATGGAATACTTCATAGGCCAGTTCACTGGAAACAAGTGAACAGATCAAGTAAATCCGTTTCCTCAGGTTAGTGCGAATGCACTACAAAAAGGATTTCGTAGGAACGTTATATGATAGAGCGGTAAAAAGTCTGCACAGATGATACGATCGACGCCAAACTTAAATTGCAGAAAGGAATTTTCACTCAAAAGGATACTAATTCAATTCAGTTTCTCAGCTAAAAACCCTGTACCATAGGCAAATTGGTTCCAGCTGCTACAGCTTCGATCACCGGAAAACGAGAGTGTGGGACGTATAACCAAGCCTTGGAGGCGAAGGCATGTTCAGTTAGTTAGTTTGGAAATCGGGTAGCTACGCAGTGAAGGTGATATCTTTGATACACGAGCTCCGTTGACTGCGCGATCGGGCCATTTCTATCAGTGTCCTTAGGCATTAGTGAATTGAGCCCCGGGGTCCCCATCCACGGAGGCGGCAGTTTTCGACCCGACTCAGTCCGCTGGTCAGTGTTTTCGTGCTTCTTTTCTAGATACTACACAATCCACTTCTCGGTCATTTCCATTCAGCAGAGAGCTGGGCAAAATGAGTCCTGTAAGGCAGACGGTCTTCTGGCATACGGTGTACATGGCCCAGCCAGCGCAGACTATGAAGCGTGAGTAATTCATCTATCGCGGGAGAGTTCCTTCTTCCTAAGACCATCTGGCGTGCGTCGGCATTACTAATTCGATATTCTCACTAGACCCAACCAATGCTTCGGTGGTCCAATACTGACATCTTTTGCATGTCATCTGCGCGTAGGGCCCACGCCTGTGATGCACAAAGCAGATGGATCGCGCCACTGCAGTGTAAACTCTGTCCGTAACAGGCAAACTGACTTCATGTCGGTCACATAGGTGTCGGGTTTGGTAGACCTTTAGTTATCTACCCCTCAATCGGAAATCCCGGTATCTGCAGCTAAAGTTCCACTACCTCAAGATGCCGTCTCGAATCTCATTTTGATGTTGGGTGGTCGGCTACTTTGTTTTGGGGGAATCGAGGAGGTAATTCGACTTGGGCACATCCCGATTCGAGTGCATTAGCTCATGAGTCAATTCGAAGTCGAAATCGGAGGTGATTTCACGATAGATATCGACTTCATCGGTAACCCTGCTGATTCGGCCGCGCGTCAGCGTGCTGCGCAGCGGAACAATCATGTGTTAAAGCAGTGACGTACGAATGCGCCCTCGCGTCCGAATCACGTGCAAACTTATCGTGTGCCGGAGCAAGGTCAAAAAAGTACATATACACTTCATGCCCACCTGATGGCGAAGGCAAAATGCGCACTCAGTACCCAAGAACACAGACGGCCATCTACGAGCAACCGTGACAATGGAAACAACCGCTGGGATACTGGTGCTGACGTGCAGGAGGCACACCGGTTGATTGAGAACAGATCGACTAACAAGTATGGTCACAAGTAAATGATGTAAATAGAATGCTGTATTTGCCTTCTTGTCTTCTGATTGCAACCCGGTAGCATCAGGCAAAGAGAAGAGATACTACACCTGCCATTGCTTTAAACTGGGTATTGTGTCGATTAGATGGCTGCGTTCTACGTCATTGCTGTCAGAAACGAATCACGTACTTATCGTGTGCCGGAGCAAGGTCAAAAAAGTACATATACACTTCATGCCCACCTGATGGCGAAGGCAAAATGCGCACTCAGTACCCAAGAACACAGACGGCCATCTACGAGCAACCGTGACAATGGAAACAACCGCTGGGATACTGGTGCTGACGTGCAGGAGGCACACCGGTTGATTGAGAACAGATCGACTAACAAGTATGGTCACAAGTAAATGATGTAAATAGAATGCTGTATTTGCCTTCTTGTCTTCTGATTGCAACCCGGTAGCATCAGGCAAAGAGAAGAGATACTACACCTGCCATTGCTTTAAACTGGGTATTGTGTCGATTAGATGGCTGCGTTCTACGTCATTGCTGTCAGAAAATGGGAACCAGGTCTTTGTGCACAGAAAAAACTGGTTATATCATTGGCACTTTTTTGGTGCTTTCAATGTTCTATTTTTTGTTTGTACATTTTATGTTGCTTTGCAGTATACAGCCGAGAAGATGAAGTGCAGGCAGTGTATTGTAGAGCAAGTTTATAACTGAAAACCCGTTTTTCAAGTTCGTTCTGTGGGACTGGAGTGGTGTTTTTGGGTGTCTGTCCTTATTTGTCTATGAACAGGATTTCACAATGGATGGCGTTCTAGAGGGTTCCCGTCTGGCAAAGAATCGTATGTGTAGGAAGTTAAATATCGAAGTTGGAGTTGTTTCTCTCGTTTAAATTCGGTTGATCCTTGTCCATTCCCTTAGTTACACGCCATTTTTTTGGCATCCGTGTTTGAGCTCCGCACCAATTTTTCTTTCATGTCCAGGATAATTTGTCAAGATAATCATGGCAATAATTACGCTTCTTGATGCGTTCTTATGCTTGTTCTTTTATAGAATTCACAAAACCCTTGGATGCGATAGACACAGCTGTTTTGCTGATGGACCAACTGGGTGACGGTCTCAACGAAACGACCCTACAGGCTACAGATCCGGTTGTCCTCCACCCGCCATCCTCGAGTGTTCCTGTCAGCTCCACCATCCATTCAGCGACCGCCCATGCTCCTGTACCAATTTTGGAACACCGTTCACCTGACAGTTCTACCACGATATCGATCAAACTGGAGCCTATGGTAGCTTCGCCCGTCAAGTTTGGTCCAACCACCAAAACCGATCCCTTATCTATACCACCGCCAAATCCAACAAGGGAACTCTTAGAAGCAGATGACGCATCCTTGTTACAGAGCCCTAGATTTGATATGGCCGATCCCAGTCAACTGCTTCATATCAGTCCCATAGTAACCGGTTCGGAAACGGTAATATCATCCGTTCAGGCACAACCAGGACTCGGTACTCCTGTACCAGTTACTGTTCCGAATAGCGTTAGTGAAAATGTGGTGAGTGTTGGTACGGGCAACACAACGTCCAGTGCTCCGATTACCTCTGCCAATTCACCGGGAATCAATGGGTTGGCTTTTTCCGCTCGTCCCCATCCTCCACTGATTCCTGCGCCACTCGTACTGAGTAACGGCTTGACGTTGGCCACCTTACTTCCCACAGATGGAACTGGAACTATTCTGACACCTACCACACCTAACAGTGCTATGCTTCCTCTGTTGACCTCGTCGGGATCGAACTTGTTGTCGAGTCTGTGCTCCACTCCCACAAATACTGGAACATTCTCATTCTTATCTCCGGCATCTTCAGCCATCCTTGCCAATGGTTTTGACGCCTTTCTTTCTCCTGCAGTTCCCGCTACATCTACACAAGCTGAACAACAGATGTGTTTGTCGGAGACTTCAACCAATTCACCAAACGAAGAAAGTATTGTTAAGTTGGCCACTGATTCTTCAACATCACACCTGTCAATGACTTGTACACCAGATACCACTATGAATGAAGAAGGGGAATCAATATTGTTATCCAAACGAACCGCGTCTGTTCGGTCCGGGACGGGTGCGCGTCGCCGTAAGGCACCAAGTCGTTCTCGGGGATGTAATGATAACAAAAATGATGGGGTATTACACGTAGTGGGCTACAAATCTGAATTGGATTGTGGCCAATTCGGAGTGACCTCAAGCGTACTTGATGTCGTACCCGGAAAGCCACACAAATGTCCTATGTGTAATAAGTCTTTTTCGCGGTCTGATGAACTTACTAGACATCAGCGCATTCATACTGGTGCCAAACCCTTCAAATGTACCCTCTGTCAACGTGAATTTTCCCGTTCGGATCACCTGACCACGCATACGAGGACCCACACTGGCGAACGGCCATTTGTGTGCGATATATGTGGTCGTCGGTTCGCACGATCTGATGAGCGCAAGCGTCATATGAAGGTCCACCAGAAAACCGGACACAGAATGGTTGAACATATGGACAAGGCGCATGTCCAGGAAAAAAAGCTTGTGACATCGACAACATCTACAACCAAGCTACTCAGTGGACCAATTAAACGTAGTTCACCCACAACGACTTCTTCCTTGGTACGGTCCGTCGATGCTGGGACTGTACAGGCTGAAGCGACGCAGCTTCACCAGACCACCACCCAATCTTCTTTCCCAAACCCAAGTGATATACACATAATCTGTGATAACACCGGACCTGCTAATCAATTCCCTGAGCAGCGTGTTCTTCTGACCGCCTGCGAGACGCAACCTGGCCATTTGACCCTTCATGCGTTTCCCAACACCCCCACTCTCCTTCAGTCGCATTCGCAATTTATATTAGCTGCTATTCCTTCCATGCCCCTGACTTCTGGCCCTATTTTCGGACAGCTGAATACCTCCGAATTTTCGACTAATTTGAACTCTGCTGCTTTTGCAACGAACCTCGCACAGGGTCAACTGTTTACAGTTTCTCCTAACGTGGCTACGGACACAACAGTTCCAGTCACCTCGTCCGAGGTGGTCAGTAGTTCCACATCACCGCCTCAACAACAGCAGCCACAACAGAACCAGCAGCCGATCATGACCAATTCACTGTCTAATTTCGCGATCCTTTCGGCAGTGCCTCAACAACCATCATCTTCTAGTTCCGACTGTAGCTCCATGGTTAATTCCAGCTTAACCTCCCTACCATCCGCAGTCTCCCCTGCTTGTTATACTCTCCGAGCATCATTTTTCCCCACACAACAGTCCGCTGGACAAACCTACTCCACAGCCCAACTTTCACCCTATATTACGGCGATTGCTTGCTCCCCAGACGCACTTGGAGCCAACCGAACGGGTGCATCAGGTGGCACTGCATTTTTTCCCCAGACCATGTTCACCGCACCAGCGGCATCTGCATTAATGGCTTCCAGCCGAAACTCAAACAGCAATGGCAGCAGTCAGGTTGCGAATAATTCGACCATTGATATTTCCAATTCGTTCCAAGGCACACAGCTGACCCTGCCCGCAGGATTCACCACTGCCAACGGTACATCAGCATGTATTTTCATAACGCCTAACCCCTAGTCGTTCCACATTTATATCGCGAGTTCAATTGACTTCATTCATTGTTCTATACTCCGTCCGTGTACCCAGCCCGTACTACTGTACACTGCCCTTCCATGATGTGTTTCTAATTTCTTGAACACCGGCTGTACCTTACCCCCTTTTTTATCCCAGTTCGTGCGTGATCTTTCATTTTCTTCCTTGTGTGCGTGACTTTGGTCATCTATATTTTCACAGCCTGTGTACTGTCGAAAACCAGGTCACGAGGTATTGATCACTTGGTGGTACGCGTGCGCTTGTGTGTATTTGTGTGTGTACACGTGGCCTTACATCGCTTCTCTGCCAGCTTACTATGTTTCTCGGACAAGGCTTGATATTCTTATTTTATTTGGTCGCGGTATCGGATATTTTATAACTAAATCACAGAAATCTTTCAATTACTGGACGAAAATGATTCACCTGCCTTTATGGTTTCTTCCACTTGCTTGAAGTGTACAAATCAGTTTGTGAGTTATCTACCGTCTATCCGCCAGTCGGTGGTTACACTGCATTTGTTGGTCCGTTGTGCACGAGATAGGCGATGACTGTGCTCGTGAAAATAGGTATTCTGATTAGTGTGTATTTTACTGTTTATATTTATCACTCTTGTTTATTCCACAATCAAGATTTCCCTTTTCTCGATAGCCTCATATTTTCCATGTCTGTGTATTCATGGCTTCAGCCCCACCGACACCATCTTCATTATATATTTATTTGACTTCATCCAGCTTAAAGCGCCTTTTTCCCAACACTTCAAATAGTAACTGTGTGATAAGAGGGGTTCAAGATAGATGTTAGTCAGTATAATATGTTTGCTTGAGTATCGGCATCCATCCTTGCTTTGTTTATGCCATTCGGTCATTGTATCACCGGTTCATGTTTATTTGTCACTCTTTCGCTAGACACAAAGTGATACTGACTTTTGTTATTGCTTTTTCGTAATTCATGTCCCCTTTGTTTGTTGTCACCACCAATCCTCATTTAAAGATCATTTCAGCATTGCAATCGTTCATCTTTTCTCTTAGTCACTATGGTCAGACAGTAGGTCGTTTCTGGAAAAACTCACCCGTCTTTGTTCAGTTCATCTTGTCGGACGAACTTCATCAGAGCCAGCTTGGAAATATTTACAAGTTGTATATTTGCTTCAGCAGCCACAATTCCACCCACTGACGATGTTGAAAATGTAGGTATAGCTGCACATTTGAGACGACTGCTGGAATATTTGCATTGGTAATCGATTAGTGAGTGTAAGGTGATGGTACGCCGGCTGTTTCTTATGGCCGTGATGTAGGGAGGTGTAGCTACGTGCTCACGGCAGGAGCTCGGGTGCATGCACCGCCGTTTCTGCTACTGTTGTTGAGCGATGGCATCCCGTCTCGGCTGCGCACCATGGAAAGCAGCAGATACCAAAGTGAGGGGTTTCCTGAATCAGGTCTCTATGAATCTTCATCTGATCTTCCTGTGCTCGCCTCCACGCATATGGTTGCGTCAAAAAAGTTCCTAGGGCAAGTCTGTATGTTAGTATTCGAAGCACTCGATCAATCACTAACCTATCGAGTGTCGTCAGCTTGTCGATTAGGTGCCGTGAAGCTGCTCAACGTACCTTAGCATTGTTGAGGATACCAGAGATCAAATTCTGGAAGTTTTTTAACGTCTGGTGGCAGCTGCCAGGTTCATGGGCCGTGCTCACCACTCTATCGGGACTCATTCAACCGCCTAAGTAAATAAATTTATCAACCACAGTGGCTGGTCTGCAACCATGAGGTTTGTATTCATCCTTGCAGTGACACATCGCACGTGTTTTAACGAAGGGTCGTCCTTGTGCACGTGGAACCCCGGACACAAAGTAGAGGGGGGTACGCGTGAAAATTTGCGTAGAATCAAAAAAGTGAATTACAATCGGCTGCCCGCTGACTCTGATTGCAAATCTACCATCCTCAATTAGTTCAATTTACCAATCCAAACTTGATCTCAATACGGCTCAGTGGTAAGAACGCGAATTTACTGACCGGAAGGTCCATGGTCCGACCTCTGCTTCCCGTCTAGGCTTGGGCAACCTAGCAGTATCCCATCCCTCGTACCATCTTCTGGTGGCATGGCAGTTAGGCACCGAAAGGGTGCTACAGCTGGAGGGTTTTTTCGAACCTGGTCACCTGAAGTCCCATCCAGTTTCGGTTCAGCGGAGTTTTTGTCAGGGGAGTTTTTGTCAAAATCTGCAACTACGCTATTCTCCTAAAGATTCCGGCTGGACAGAAGCATCTTTGGAAATTGACTCTTGATTCACTAGTAGAGAATGTGCTGAAACATATATTACTAATAGCAATCAATCAGCGTGAATATGTTAAATCGTTTGACCCATCTTAGTAAAACGACGGATAGACCACCTCTGCCTCCCGTCTAGGCTTGGGCAACCTAGCAGTATCCCATCCCTCGTACCATCTTCTGGTGGCATGGCAGTTAGGCACCGAAAGGGTGCTACAGCTGGAGGATTTTTTCGAACCTGGTCACCTGAAGTCCCATCCAGTTTCGGTTCAGCGGAGTTTTTGTCAGGGGAGTTTTTGTCAAAATCTGCAACTACGCTATTCTCCTAAAGATTCCGGCTGGACAGAAGCATCTTTGGAAATTGACTCTTGATTCACTAGTAGAGAATGTGCTGAAACATATATTACTAATAGCAATCAATCAGCGTGAATATGTTAAATCGTTTGACCCATCTTAGTAAAACGACGGATAGACCAACCTGAACGCGATCGTCATTCGTGGCATTTACTGCTGCCCCCACCTACAGATTTGGTAAGCCATGACAGTGAAATTAAGCCATATGGGAAAAGTAACAGTAAGTAGGTGAGTTGACTCCGCAGATGACGTTCCTGTCGATTCACATCAGTCACCGTTAAGAAGGTTAGCTAGGTCATATATCGAAAGCAACAAAATAGGGGCCGGAACGGTAACTCAGAACAGCGGTTCAAGTGACCACATGTTACTTACTGCTAACTAAATGAGCTAAGGGACTTCGACCTCCCACGACAACCGCCCTCCTAGAATGGTAGTCGTCTGATCGGATTGGTGAGTATTCTGCTAGTTAAGGTCCTGTGATAAGCTAGAAAGACACTGGATCCCAATCTGGTCTTTACCTCTCAGTGTATAATCCATTATTCAGGCTGCCAAGTTTCTAGGTGACCAGAATTATTGCAACACCCAGATGGTTGGACGAATATAAAAGAGTAGATGGTTGTCCGCTTTTCCTGTTGATTGAACCTTTGAAGATAAGCTGGAACCACTCACCACGTAGGGCTATTGAGACTTATCTAGACTTTCAAGCGAGGTCATCAGTCGCTTGCAAGAGGATTCGCAATTTCCCCCTCACAAGGTGCCGTCCTTGGGTACGCTGGAACTGGTGATCTCTTCTGTATGGTAGGATCAGATTTCCCGACGAACGAGGTACTTTCCTTGCTTACTTTCATGTGGTTCTGTCCATGATGCTCCAATTACTATTCGGTCACATTTACGACAGTGTCACTCTAGGTGCCTGTCACGTGATTGTTTTGGTTTCTCCCGGCGATCGTTGGATCGAACGTAACCCTGCTACAGGAAGAACTTCTTTCGAGAGCTGTTATGCCAGAAAGTGCTCGAAAAATCTTAGTTGGATCCAGGTGGACGATATGGTGAACCTGCATACACACGCCTCAGCTTGTTTAATTGAAACTAGGAAGTTAACCGAAAAAGTATAAAAGACAAGTACTCATATCGTTAACAGATCGGCATTTATTACCGTTCAGCCGAGGTGACCGGAGTTCCGTGGAGTTCTTTCATCTCATTGATGTTCAAGACTCACGTTTTGCTGGCTTCAAACCAAGTTGCGATAGCCTGGACTGTTTCTCATTCGTGAACTCTACCTTGCTTCCTGGTGAGACAGAAATCTAGTTCCTATTCGGAGTTGTCGGATTGTTCAGACTCTTATGCACAGACGTCGCATCTACTATTGAGTTTCCCCGCACGGAACTTTGAGTTTGACCATCTCGTTTATCAAAAGGAATAACTGGGCTCGAAAATTTACGGTGCTATTTACACAAAAGTGGACAGAATTACACAGCAAACCTCATTTATCCTTGTTCTCATCGTCAGCCGGTGCGTAAATCTGTCACTAACCGGCACAATGTCAAGGTCCACACACCAGACAGCGGCGAGACGCGCGTTGGCTCGGCAATGCGTTTTGTATTCGTCCCTTTTGTGGCCGGTCCCGTGATTCTGATTGGCGGTTCGATCACACAGAAATGACGACAACAAGTTAGCGTGGGCTCAACAGACTAGACACGAACACGCATGGGTGAGTAGGTCAGTTGCGCACAGTGGCACAAGGACCACAACATACCAGTGTCGGGCGAGGCAGCGAAGTGGATGGCCGGTAGGGATGAACAAAACAGGTAGTTACCAAAAGTACATGGGCGGAGTAAGCAAATGAATGGGCGCATTATCATGACGACACTTTAGATTCAACACCTAGTGTGCCGAGACATAATCACGAAACAGCCCGAACGAACGGTTGTTACCACAACAGGCAACTGACTCATTTGGTCCACAAATTCATATTTCTCTTTCAAAACTCACCGTGAGCAGTCCCAAACAGCGTAGCACGGAAGTCAGTGAATCTGTTCATCAACGCCACCACAGCTACTCAGTAACAGCTAGTTTTTCTCTGAGAGACAGCCACCGTCGCCGAGTGGCAACGAAGACTGACCGCTCTTAATACTGGTGCCTGGACGGCCATAACCGGTAAATTTCGCAGGCTGTCTATAGGCATGTCGCGCTGGCTGTCAAATAGCTATTTCACAACCGCTGCATCTGTTCCTAAAAGTATTGCTTTAGAAGACCCAATTTTCAGTGTCGCTTCTCGGTTCGTCAGTGTTCCAGTTCGAGCGTCGTATTCAACCCACTGTTAGAATCTCCTCTCAAACGAATCCGGCGCAGCTATGGTTGCACGTGCATAGTTTCCGCTACCGTAGTCGATGAAAAACATGTGAAAACGATATTGTAGGTAGGCATTTGGATGTGTAGTTACTTTGAAGGGAATATGTATCACCTCATTGTCAAGAAAGCCTTCAGCGTCTGAAGATAGGCTATAGAACATCAGGTTTTTCGATCATGATGTACTTCAGAAGTAGTGCAGAGATCCATCATATCATTGAAGCATAAGGGATGCTAATGGTAATGCTATCTGTCTCATAAAATATGCACGTAATTGGTGCTTGGAGTGAAATTAAACGAAAATTGATCACCTGACCTGTTAGTGGTAACTTATACAACATGTTGGGTAGAAAATCGATTCCCCAGCAAATTTAGGTGGTCTTTACATGGGGATTTGTCACCTACATCGATTGTACAATAAAGCTAGAAACTGAGTAATTTAGACCTTTTGGACGGCTGTTTTCACAAACCATATAGCTCTGATGTCTTCAGCTCAGCAGGTCTAGCGGCACCCCCATCGAATCTTTGCTTTCTTTTAATCATCAACCGACTGATTGCGGACATCCCCATTGTATTTTCTCATTCTCTTACACCATCTTTCATGATTGAATCGACCTACTGGGGGATGGGCCAGAAAATACTTTACTCTTAGGGTCATTTCGCTGCGCTGAATATGGAGTTCGCTTTTCCACCAGGTTCCGGACCACGACTTCTTTTTGGACATCGTTTGAAAGTACATACACTACACACAGAGCTGACAGATTCTCGGCAGAGACAAATATGCCTGACTGTGAGCAGATCGGTTGAAGTTCAGCACTCAATGTGCACAATGCATCTTTCCAAGAAGACACTTCGTAAAGTAAAAGCTTTATGGTTGATCTTTTCTGAAGCCAAGTACTATTGGCCTACTCGCACATATTAAGGGTATTTAGATGTCATCTTAATGCCCGTGACGTGGAAAGAAGAACAGCGCTGGTTACGGATGTGTATAATGCATCGATCGACTGTCGTATCCCGTATTAGATGTGTAACCAAGATTCCTACTAGCTACTCACATGAGCTGCTCTAGGTGAAGACTCTGTTGACTTTCGTGCAACGCTCCCGGTTGGTGAGAACACATTCAAACACACAGTATCCTTAAGATTGTCTCGCTAAGGTGGGGAACTGCAGATTTTGATCTTCGTATCCAATTACCGAAATATCGTGGTAAAATATCCAACATTTGTGGGGCTATTCTAGTGGGTTTCGCAAATACTTCAGGAAACAGTTGATTCCATTTAAAAAATGTTTCACCACTCTAAGTCACCAAGGTTCTTCATCCTAGTAGGCATTCCGTTATTCTCGGTGAATTGTTCTCACCATCAGTTTTTAGCGTATGCGTACCGATGGTTAACGTACTCAAGAGTAGGACAATATGACAAATATGAGGGAGACAATACATACCAACCTGTCTTGGTGCATAAGTCCTTTCAGTACTATTCACCCATTAAAACCCTTTATTTGTCATTTGCATTTACTCTGCACTTGTTTGATGCAGGTACATCGTTCACCAAAACGATGATCTACACCGTTTTTTGGGAGCCTCCTTTCCGAATTCAAGGCGTTAGGTACGTCCAAATCCAATTCTCCTATACCAGAACAATATGAAGTGTTCGTTTTCACCCAGGCGAGGTAATCTCAGAGAGGAACTGAGTGGAACTCGCAAAATAGCTTGTTCATAGTTTCAAATCCAGTCCAGCATTTTGATTTGATCGTGTGATTAGGATGTGTAAACCGAGATGAGAGATTTCCTGGCCTCACTCAGAATGCTTCAGGAAGATGCTGATAAAAGTGAACTCACCTATTTTCCCGTCTTCTTTGTCCTGATTAACCTGATTAGTACCTTGTGAAAAAGTAGCACACCATTTCGAACGTTACACTATTAAATGCTACGGTCAAACAGGTGCAACTGAATTGTCTCACGTCGGATGTTGGTTGAGGCTGCTAAGGCTGCCAAAGGCATCGATTTGTGCGCTTTGGATTCTGATACGACCAAACCACGCATTTTGGCTAGCCCGTGAAGTAATATGTTATTAAAGAGCATCACATTCCGCCAGGAGAAGCCTCATATACATTTTGGGGCAAATGACCTAGTTAGGGATAGTTGGAATTTTTCCCGTAAATATGCTCCGTCAAACAGTTCTACTGTGCCAACTCCGGTTGCTGGACGTCACACCATCGCCGAGCGAGTCCACTGGTATTTCTCATCAGTACAGCTTGAACAACGTCCCAATGAAATTTGAAATGAACATCACCGATAAGTGGTATAAATAAGGTGAAATTCGATTAGCTTTCTCAGCATCTGTAGCTTGTACAATACACCTGATTCGTCAGTAGCACTTCAAAGCAAGGTTTGTTAGATCGGGATCGCTAAAATTCGTATTACTCTGAAAAGTAACCGCACTTAGTGCATACATATATAGCCTCGATAACTAGTAGTCACTCAACGGGTTTTAGTGGTCGATACTATTATTTCGATGAAGCTGACCTGAAGGAGACGTGAAGGAGAATGTTAATAATTCAAGTTGTGTAAACCACCGTTCTTCTGTTCACCGAGCTGAGCAGTTTTGTTGTAAACGTTTCGTCAGCAGTCGAGATGATATCACCAATGCGTAGTACGTTAGCAGTATTAAGTTAACACTGATGATGTCATCTCAGTTGATGACGAAACGTTTGCAGTCAAACTGTTCAGCTCGACGCTAATCCTAGCTGATCACTCCGGAGATGAGCTGGATTTCGGTTTTGCCACTCGACGTGACATTCACCTTTTGGGTTCATTTCGACCTATCAGCAGTACTCTTTGATATGGATCTGGCTGGCAAAAGATGCATTAGATCTGAATTCTGCTTTCCCAATCGGACTGATCTACAAGCTTACTCTGTTTCGTTACGGCTATTTCGTCTGTACTATCGTGCTAACCGTCACATAAAAGTTGAGTTTCCAAGAACGGAGCTGCCTCTTTAGCATCCTAGCATAAAGAACAGGATGCCCTTCCATCTTAGAACAAGCACCTGGAGAGTGAAGAAGGCGCTAGTCTTTACACGGTTGGTTTGATTATTTTTGTTTGTTGATCTTGGTGTTTATTCATTTATGCACATATAGTTCATTTTTTCATAACTGTTTATTTTATGAGTCCAATATTTGCCTGACTTAGAGGTAAGTCTTGAATCCAAAGTGCACGGTCCGTGACAGCTCCGTCTAGAAACTCTGCTTGTTCTTCGGGGTCATACTCTGACGTCCAGAAGAACGCGTGTCTATCAATTAGTTCACCTTCGTATACCCGAAGATAATCTCCATTCTACTGCATGTTCTTCATGCGTACAATCATCCGTATCACATTTCATGCCCAAAACTTCATCTCACCTGTTGATGGTCAAAGTTTTGGTCAGACACTCAGATACCATTTGTGAGGGGCAACTGAGACCGAGTTATTTACGCGACCCCTTTCACCAAGCGTATTATGCAACGCACTGTTGGATTAAAATTACCACTGCGGCGGGCCACACTTCATGTGCATGGATAACGAGAAAGTTGTAGATTGTGGTGCCTCATTTTTATCGACTGGAATTTCGAGATGTCTTCCTATTAATGCCGATGCTCGTGATCGATCGATGCTTGATCACACGTCCGTCGTAACAACATCCATTTTACTTCATATATTCGTTTAACCTACGTATGCCCGCAAACCCTTTACTTCCAGGACTGAGAAATGTGTGCATATCCTTAGGAAACCACGAGATTGCGGGGACCAGCTAATTAGCTAACCCATGGAAAATTTATTCCCACTGCCGCTAAAAAGGTGAATAATAAATCATGATCAACTGTACAGATTGTCATTCTGATGAAAGGTATGCTATTTTCGAAGTGGAATGACTACAGATTAGGTGAAGCACAGATGACTGCTGAATTCTCACCCCCGAATGAAGCAGACGGGGTTCGAATTCCGGACATGATAAACTAATGAAAGCGTTATTATTTGCCAATTTGTTTGCCACTTTATTTCTCGATCATTTTACATACCCTTGATAGAATTAGTGAGAGACGTATCAGTATATTAACAGGAGAAACTAGAGATTTGGGGTGAAGTTTTTCTTCAAAGCAATCACTGTTTTGGTCAACATTCCTGGAAATTCATTTAAAAAACCAGCTTTTTCCTGAAGCATGTGTAGTGCTTAGCGCTATGTAAGGTGGATGTATTAACTGTGAAAAAAGAAGGAAATTCGTGTATTTCCGGGACATACTCAGCAATTTCCAGGGAGACTTAACGTATCACCGTTCTCACAAACCGGAAACCTTTCACAAAATTCAGCAAGAGTGCCTGGCCCAGAGAAACTTATGCAATTACGGAGTGGGAACTATGACTATGCATCAAATACAGAATGGAACGGCTGATTAGTGGCTCGCCCAGATCCGCGGCTTATAAGCTTTCTCTACGCTATATCGTACGCACAGTGACCGCTAAATACCCTTAGTGTTTTAAAAAAAGTCAACCCTGAATGGTTTGCGGTTATCAGGAATCACAGTTTGGAGAGGTCAAAACCAAATTGTCCACTCCACTCAAAAACCACCAAACGTTTTTTTGAAAGATACATCCAGATTCACGTCACTCTCCTTTAAATAATCCTTCTATCCTAGTGCCAGTATTCTGATAAGCCTACAGCATAAGTGGGAAGCGCTGTACTCAGATTTCCCTCCTACTGGAACTCATCAGTGGTGCATATCCCTGGCGCACTTCGGGTTTGAACTCCGGATAGCTTTCAGGAAGGGCGTGTTACTACTTCTCCGTCAGTGCAAGCTGGATGTGTTTGTATCATCACGTCTGAACTAGCGAAGGTATCCGCACGCAGCGATACAATTGGTTGCCCGCAACCACCTAGAAGTAATCAGCAAGATGACTCTGACACAGAGTGTGACAATAGTACACTGGTTTGAAGGGTTTGAACGGTCACTAAATTCATTCTACATAAAAATTAATCGGAGCGCAAGACAAAGATTGTGCAACCTTCCATCCCTTTCACTTGGAATCCTGTGGTGCTAGTAGGATTTCCGCACCCGAAATTTTCGTCCTCCTGAAAGATTTTGCCTTAGCAAGGCATATTTCATCCGTCCACTCCAGGTAACTGTCAAAACAACTGTTGTATGCTGACCAAGTTTTCCAGTTTAATTGCTCAAGCCCTTGTGCCCCACCCGTACCCTTGAACACTGTATGTAGACCATAGTAACAGAAGGACTTAGGCAGCTGCAACAAAACTGTGGTCGGAGCCCACTCAGGTGCGTCAGATGATCAACCTCATGAGGATGTATGTCTTTTGAATAATGATGGTAATCGGTCGTTCGTTGTCAAAATAATAAGAATTAATAGTTGAGTAAAAGAAGGCAGAGCTGACAGATTTCGATAGAAAATCGAAGATGTTAGATGAGCTGATACCTTGAGGACCTCTTAGTTTCCACCCCTTCAGGGGTTCATGAATTCCTCCTCTTTGGACTGCAAATTCTAAAGTACAACGTCGCCCCTCTTGCTCAGCGAATACATGTTCATCAATCTGATGGCTTCTCTCTGTCTTCGGTCATGGTGCCCAATGAAAGGGCATGAATTGAATAAAAGTGGGCTAAATTTTGATCGATCAAAATGGCGACTAGGATAACCGGATGTGTGGGGTCGTGTTTTACCGTTTTGACGCTCCGAATCCCGACCCCACATGGGTGTCTTCGCAAAGCTGCCGTCCTTCTCGACAACTTGTACATGCATTGTTTCAGAAATAAATATTTAAAAAAAATAAAGAAACAAAAGTCCACCTTCATCCGACAACGAAATTTCATCCTCACATGGATGATTACGACGCCCCTGTGTTGAAAGCAATGCCTAACAACCATTTCTACCCTCTGCAAGGATGATGGTTGCTTTCCTGCAGTCATTGCGGAATACGATGCTTGTTGCCATTGCCCAAAAATTGCACCATGCGAGTGGAGAGCGTTTAACACCCTGAGACCGGTAGATAGTATTGTCATTACGAAGGCCGATAAGGGTAAGCCATAGTAGTAATGAACAAGAATCGCTATCTTCAAAAGAACAGGCAAAACATCGTCGACGAACCCTATCGACAAATTACTGATAGCAGTGTTACTAAACTAGTGAAAAAGAGCGAGGTTAAAGGTGGTAGCTATTTGAGACCCATAATAAACCATTAAGGGCAAGGTAAGTGGTATCGGTTGTACCCAAAAGTGCGATTCAACCACGACTCTACGGATTGCCAAAAATCCACAAGGCAGATGTCCCGATGAGGCTCGCCACCACATGAGCTAGCCCTATTCTTAGCTGGTATACTAAAACCACTCAGTAGGACTTCATACGACTTTACCAATGAGGTCGCAGGGCTTCCCTTGTAGATGGGCGAAGTCCTCGTGAGTTTTGACGTAGTCTGGGCAGATGATCTGGAGGTTACTGGCATACACAACACCTGAGGAAAGGACAGAGCTCTCAGTGGATGAAATAGTTGAGGACATTCGAGTGTGTTTGAACCTCGATTAGTTTGTTTCTGACACAATTGTTTACTCATAAGAACAAGGTCTTGCAACTGGATTTCCACTATCCCCAGTTTTACTTGATATTTATATAGATGACTTCCAACAAATGGCCTTGGCCGGATATCATTGTCCACCGAAAATTTTTGGCGTTATGTTGACGATACCTTCGTTGTAATCAAACGAGAAAACGTGAACAGCCTTCACGGCTACCTCAATAGTTTAAATCTACACATCAAGTTTAGCATGGAGATAGGGTCCACCTCGGACACATTACTCTTGCTGGACTGTATAACACATAAGAGTGGTTGGAAAGTAAAAAAAACTACGATCTACCAGAAACCAACAAATGCAGGAACTGTCTTAAACTATTCACAAGCACACCCAAAGTCTTTGTACACTAGTGATGTCTCATCGATGTTTCGCCGAGTCAGAGAGCTGTGCACAGAAGAGATGGACCGAACGGCAGCTCAGATCGAGACTGCTAAAAGACCCCAAGAAGCAGAATACCCAGTGACTTTGATCAGGCGTCAACTAAGAAAGATATCGGCTCCGGTATGTAGGCGCAGTAAGGAATGGATTGACACAGTAGTCATTCCATATAAAGTAGGAACATCTGGAGTTATTCGATGACGGCTGAACTTAGCCAACATTAGAGTAGCATTCCAGAAGTGAAAAAACCTGTACGCTCAGTTTTAGTGCAATTGTAAGATCCCTTCTCGGTTGAAAAGACTACAGACAGTGTGTATAAAATTAATCGCAACAATTTCCCTAAGGCTTACATAGGACAAACTGTCATGGAATTGCGCACCAGAGTTGGTGAGCATAAAAGTGAGGATAAACAAGTTACCAAGGAATGCGGAAGAACACCAAACGCTGGTCAAAGACTCAGCGATGGCAGCACATGCCTTAAGACATGGGACATAGAATAAGTCTGGACAATGTGGAAGTTTTACGACGGGGAGTACAATGCACAACACAGCGGCTGATAACCGAGGAAGTAGGAATCACCAAGCCTCATAGCGTGATGGGAATCGAGGGTGTGGAACTGGCAAGCGTATAAAAAGCGATTTCAGACAAACCGAGTTGACACGTAACTGTGTGTGCCTGGCAATTCACGTAGAATCATTAGCAAAAACAGGGGGTTGGAAATCCCAACCCGGCCAAAGTTCACACAACTATTGTAGCACTAGCTCATCCAGGCAGACGGACAGGTGCAAACGACGTTCTAGAGAAATCATGAAGTGAAAAACTAAACCTTAGGCTGAACCCAATATCATGTAGGCTCGCTATCGGCCTAACCCTGTGTCACCCACCCCAACACACAAAATCCCTCGGTCGGCACCCAAAACAGATTTAACTTGACTTAGCCAACTGGTTCTCCCTCTGTTCTAAATCTCGACCAACCTAGTAACCTAGTCACTTGGCCTGACGAAGCACTCATTTCAAAAGCGAAACGTTGCCCAGCAATAGATCTACCGACTGTTACCAAACTTTCCCGAAAATGATGTGATCTAGTTTGGTGAGGCTTGTTATCCCTTACGGATGCGCTGATTCAGGGAACTACTGTATCTTCAGTGGACTCAAGCTTTGACCTTTCTGTTCATGTCCGAATTTACCCCAGAGGAGTTGTGAGTTGCCTTTCGTCACCATAAACATCTGTGTGGCACGCAGCAAAATAAATTTGCCCCCGGTAACCCATAACCGGCGTCTCATGACAACAATTGGGAAATTTCGTACAGAAACCGATCACAAGTAGTGATGAGTATTTCCCTATGGTTTGTTCAGTGTTTTTCATTTCGTTTTCCGGCCCAAGAGTACAATTTAGTCATCAACTATTGTTAAATAATGGTTACTTGTCGAATACATCGTTCTTCCAAGAAAAACACTTATCCGTCAGTGTATTTTAGGATTCCGACCACTGTAGTGTATTCAGATTTTATGATTGTCAGCACTGAACCGAAAGGACGAATAACCGAGGCGCATTGTACGTGTGAACCGCTGACAAAAGTTGAATGTCCGTGGGAGTGATGTAGACATACTGATTGGAGATCATCCAGTGGGAAGACGAATCAATCGTTCGGTCACTAATACACATAAGCCTATCACAAAACTGGATTATTATCAAGCGGAAAAGGCACGATTATGATTGCACGATGTCGCAGCACAGCATGTGTGCGTGCGCTTGTGACTGTTCTGTTGTCCTTCGTCCACCGTTAAAAATAATTCCGCATGTGCGACTTCCGATAAGTTCTATTACATAATCACTGAGTTGGTGGCCATATACGTCTGCGTTCCGGAGTCAGTGATGTGGGTCCACATTCTGTGAGCGTAGTTTTGGCAATGTCTGTCAAGCAATATGTCCGAAAGCAGATTATATTTCCCGCATGTGATCGGTATGACGTGTCTTTGTTCCATTTTGTGTCTGTACCTGCTATACCGCCCTACCCGCACACGTGACCATTATACCTGGTAGCCAGAATTTAGTCTCGTCCGTGAATTTAAGTACCTCGGTTACCTCGCACAATGTGTCTTTAGTGGTCCCCAAGCATTCGAAGAGTCCGTTCGAAAGTGTCCACGTAAAAAATACTTGGCTAGAAGGTTGTAAACCGGGATGCGGGTGTGCTTGTAGTCCTCTCTGTTGGTGCGAATGTACGTGGGGGCTGCTTGCATTTGTCATTTCGGAATTTATGCAGTGGCATCACACAAAAGCATCGGTGCAACAATTAGGGGTTGCTTTGAGTCTTGATGTGAGAAACCATAAGATCAAAGCCGTTCCCGTACGCTCGGACGGATTCCGGTAGTCAAAAAAAACAAGACCTTCCTGTTGTACTTCTGAGTTGATTGTTCACTGGTGCTCATATTGCATGCATGCTTGTCACGAAGCAGTTTTATTAGCTGACTAAACCAAGAAAGGATTCCATTAAGGTCTCACCTGTCGGAGCTCAAGACGGTCTGATTACAGCTATTTTCTCAAGGTCAGACAAACGCTCTGACGTATTACATTTTTTTTAAAAAAGTATGCAAAGAAGTAGAAATTAACCTTCGCAGGCTCAAGGTTTGAATCAGCACTCTGTGCTAATGCCGAATGTGGTGTTATACTGAAGAACAGACAGTGGTAGTATCTTCCATATAGGGCGCGACGTAAGGAGTTACATATCATGGTAAATATTATCTCGTGAAAGATAGTTGGAACAGATTTTAATCCGATATGTAATCCATTGAATCGAAAGAACTGATGATGGGCGTTCATAACAAATAATCCTTTGCAGTTCATTTCTAGCTGCATTTGTGAATAAGCGCCAGGAAAATAAGCTTTTGGAAGCGTTCCTTCTCGTTCAAAATAACAAGTCGATCCCTTGTAGTTAACAGGAAATTTTGTTGTTTCCAAATCTTCATTCAGACCAGCCCCAGGGGCACAAGCAACCGATTCCAGTCATTCCATTCTACCCAGTCTGTTTGTTAGCCTCCAGGATACGAAACTAGAGCACTGGGCCTGGGTTGTGTTCGATACACATTGACCTATTTGACGTAGCAACAAAAGGCGATGATCAACAAGGCTGCTGGTCTTGCCCACTGTCGGCTTCTCGAAACGCACGTACTGCTCTGGATCAGCCTGCTCCCTCTGCAATGCGCTGAGCGTGCCGGTTAGACTGAAATTTCCAGCACGGGATGATCGTGATACTGTCCAGTTAGCGGATAGTGCCATTGTTACTATTCCTGCTTGCTTCAAACTACATCAGTCCCAGCACTACATCAAGCTTGATCGACGTTTGAGTGACCACACATGCACACACTCAGACCACTGTGACCAGACATTGTCCCAACACTCCGAACATCTGATGTTCCATCCAAGCATCGCGTTCACTGGCTCAGACTACATGCTCATCAGCCGCAGCGTGGCGTGAAGTAGCACAGTCTGAAAACCACACCACTTCACAATAAACGCCTAACTGCTGGTCATGCTTGAGTGAATGTTTGTGACAATGCATGTAGCGTCTTGATTCGGCTTTGTGTAGGAATGAGTGCTGCATCTTTTCTGATGACATTGACCAGTTAGTACACAGCAAGTCGTGTTTGCACTTTTTCAAATACACGTAAAGACAGTTAAACATGGATAAACGGCATACCAGTGTCTTTGTTTGCTGACGTTGTGTTGGGTTTTAGACGTTCTTTATTGTAAACGCATTCACGTTTTCTACATGAAAACAGTGAGTTCAGAAGACTGGTATCCTTCTTCACACAGTCCCGTTGTTCATTTTTACTTTTAAACTGATCCATCGGGTTTGTAGATATTAGGGCTTTTCAGGTAAATACTCCTTAACATTTTTCTTTACTTCCATATTATGAAACAAATCAAATACTCTGCTGAGGAACAGCAGAAAACTTTTACGTTTACTCGGTACCCATTCGCCATAGGCGGAACGTATCCTGAGAACATCACAAAGGAGAGATTCAGCTGGGTTCCAGGTGAGTCTCTCGAAAAACCAAATTAGTTTGCAAATGAGTGTATAT